ATTAAGTTACGTCAAAGTCACTTTACGTTAAAAAAAAATAATTTGAGTATGTAAACACTAAAGTTTTTCGTTAATTTTAAAAAGTTCGTTTTTTTCATATTCATTACACCGAAATTCGATGTCATGATTATCCTGAAATTAAAGCAGATGCACAAACAGACACTTCGTTTTTGCATCCAGGGCTGGATGACCTGATTGCTGCTGCTATCTCAAGGAATCTCAAACTACCGAATTTTGCAGGACTTTGTGTTTTATCTCTTTGGTATTACAGGAGAATATAATTGCTATTTATTACTAACCATCCAACTCACTTAAAATTGACGACTATTAGAGCTTCACGAATTTTACATATAAATCCATATAAATCTCTTAGTTAACCTTTAACGAATTAGAATAATCATAATTATTGTCATTTTCTCTCTGGGCCTTAAGACTGCTGAAATCATATGGAGCAGCAAACGCTAAAAAGAGCTCAGCAGAATTTACGGTCACGGCCTCCCATCGAGATGATACAACCAGCAGTATTACTGGCCCCTCTATCCAATTTGGGTCTAGAATCTCCCTTTTTCAGCCAGTTGAAGCCTGGATAGAGGTGGAAAACTTATCCGCGGTCCCTGCAAATGTCTGTCTAGGTGTGGAGTATTTTAAGCCCTCCAATCTTCCAAAGAACCCCACTCCTTCGGACTATGATCTCGATGCTATTGATCAGGAAGAAACTGTCCTCATAGGCGCCTACAGATTCATCAGTCGATGTGGGATCGAGAATAAGTTGGTTCAACCGGACAAACTGTCACCTCGGCGCATAATGAGGCTTCCTCATCTCAAGAAGAAAGTAACTCAGGCCGCTTCAGCTCGAAAATTAAAGCATTTTAGATTAAGAGGTGGGTAAACTCGTTCTTATCTGCTCCTTTTGGTTAACATTTTCTATTCAGAAGTAGCAGTACAGACGCTAAAATTTCCATCGTCAGGGTAAAGTACTTGTGCAATATCTCTTCATATTTATATGCTTAAACGTCGCCAACACCATCGAGAATGGAAATTAATGCCCTAGAAAAGAAAGGGAAGCACTCATTCTTGAATTCGTTGAGATCTTTATAATAATGCTTGCATACATTTTAAAGAAAATGCCGAAGTCGGATAGCAAACCATCAGGTCTAAAGTAAAGTCATAAAACAGCAATGAGGAGATACGAATATCCATAGTAAATAGGTCTTTAGACTATCAATAGAGCTTGAATAAGATTTCAGGTTACTCTAGGGGATGAAGGACAACTAATTGAACTTTCCTGCAATCATCTGGAAAGGTATCACGCTGCCATTGAATATTTTTTGCCTTGTCTCACACATGATAATAACTCTTGGAAGATAAGGCTAATTGAAATTCAAAAGTACGATAAAACCTTAACATTCAACTATCACTTTGTTATCAGCTTAGACGGGTCTTGGTGAATAGGATTCTTATACGAGATAGTATACTTTACAAAATCTTCTTAGCACTTAATACTCCCTACTAGCAACATTAAAACGTGATTTATTTTTTATCAATTCTTATTTGGCTCTGTATTTTCAGGTGCTGTATAATGTTATTGTCATTTTGCAATTAATTAAATACAATCTTTTTATCCAATTAGAAATACACAGCCTTGAAAAAATGTATGCTGGCGGAAAGCCCATTTTTACAGCCATAGTTACCATTCAGTGAGCGATTTTCACTGAGTCTGTCCCATCTAGGATTTATTAAGCATCATACCTATATTGATAATCTTTTAAGGACTATTTGAATTTTATTTTTACTGTCTATGTTAGCAATCTCAACAAAACGCACTTGTTAGCGTTTTATAGATCCAAATGACAGACATTGGCATATTGATATATCATTTAATAAATGGACTAATATCGCAATATATAAACCCATTAATTCAGCGACCTACCTTTTAATAATAGATATTACGAATTGGTTTTAAAAAAAGAATCCTTGTAGCTCCATGCTGGGGGCTATAAGACGCTGATTCATTGAGTGTGGTAAATGAAAAAAACCTCGTTTAATATTTACCCTTCTTCCTCCATAGGCTTTGTTGCACACATAAATAACCATTGGGGAAGGCATCAGTAACATCCCTTGACCGAATTTTTGCAAGAAAGTTACAATCGAGAACTGGACTTTATCAGATATGTAGAAAACTTTTTTTCAAAGGATCCTTTAATAGATTGATTTTACCATACCTTTCAATTCGTTTTAAGAGGCGAGTGGGAGGAATTCATACTTTGGGTTCAGCGGAATTTGAATATGGGTTACTTTAAGGCTGTGAGTGTAGATTTAGGCAAATAAGTCCTTGGTCTACCATTCCGCGGCTCCAATGAATAATTGATGAGCTTTCGTCCGTCATGTGCGGTACCTGGACGATTAATTTGCACTTTCGACACATAGAAGAGAAAAGCTTGAAGATTTTCTGAAGTTTATAAACGAAATTGACAAAAAATCTAATTCACAATTGGAGTAGAGGAAGGTGAACGAGCACCTTTCATGGATATTGAAGTCATTCGCTTTAATGGAACAATTAAGAGAAAATTGTTCAGAAGGAAGTCACATGCCGAGGTAATACTCTATTTCCAGTCCCATCACAAATACAGGCTAAAAAAGGAATAATGAGCCTAAGATACCTACATTTAACGGACGTGGAATATTGTGATGAAGAATTAGACACATTTCTTGGGATAGTCCTTGAAAAAAGTAGTGTCGGCGAAGTAATACAAAGAAACATACGAGCTTGAAAAGCCGATGGCAGAACGGGAACTATGAAAGAACAGTAAGGACGGAAAAATATTCACAAAAGTTGATATGCAAACCGTCCTGCCAACTAACTCAAAAATTACGGCCAATACCACAAAGAAAAGGGAACACTCTTCACGAGTCTACCCAAGGACATGAGAGGGTGGAAAAATAAGATTATCCGGGAGTTGAGCATAAGAAAAATATCAATTCTTCTAAACAATTTCTCTCATAATCAGTCAGCTTTGTTAGAAATATGCTAATGGTAGAATTAAAAGTTAAGCCTGAACTTTATAACCTCAGATTTTTAAACATTTGAAGTATTCTATTTTATTCCCGAACACTTCTAGCCTGCTCATAGGAGGCCTAAACGATTTCAATTTTAAAGGTGGATTCGAGGATTTCCGTCTAATTATCCTCTTTAGT